TTTTTTTTTTTTTTTTTTTTTTTTTCCTAGTTGAGGAAACTGAAGTCCCAAGGCCTAACGAGCGCCTGAAATATGGTTTTAAAGGTGGGATTGTATCAACTGTCTGGTTATTGCAGTTCAGGGTTTTTGAAGCTTCTTCCTCATTTCTCGTGTGTCTTGTCTGTTCTCCTCTGACCTCCGTGATTCTCTTTTCTGTTTAGGCTAGCTCGGCTCTCAGCGGTCCATGATTTGGTGTTTTCTGTCATCGTCTTCGTGCTCAGGTTTCCTACATCTCTTCAGGGCAGCCTGCGGTTCCTGCGATTCCTGCTGTTCCTGCTGTTCACTGGACAGGCCCCTGTGGATATCCTGGTATCACCTTGAAGCCGATGTTCATTTCCTCCGACCTTTTTGAGTGTGTCTCCTGGGCTCACGAATGAACCGTGGTTTCGCGTGTAATTGACTACAAAGTCGGCCTGCCAATCACTTTTGAGATTAAAAGGTTGTGCAGAAAAACGTTCCTAAGCATGCTAACGCTTGTTAACCAAGTGCAAGTACAGGATAAGTACGTGACATTATAGGGCTCCCAGATGCAAAATCAAAGATACAGACAACTTTTATTTTTAAATTTTCTTTGTAAAGATTTTAAAACTAATATTTAAGGAATATAGTGAATTGTTGAAACTTTGAAAGCTGCTAGTGATTTTGCTAGTCATTAGTAAGTATATATTGGCAAATTAGCAACCTTTAAGAAAAAAAGTCAATATAGTTTAGTCACATAAATATAATTTTGCTATATAACTTAATTGTAGTAACATCAATCAAAACACATAATTTCATGCCAGTGACACTGTGGGCACATTGTAAATAAACTACTACAATCCTGGAACTTAGATCAGTTTCAAACTAAGCAGCATATACAGGACACCTTCTTGTTTCAGAATACATGCTGCCTTTTGCAATGGTACTTACCCAGTCCTGTATCAGCTTACACTGGCTATTGCTATTGCTATAATACAGAGACTATCCTCCTTAAAAGGAAGATTAGTTACATATTGAATAGAGTTATGAGGCTGTTAGAACCTAACTGAAGCTTCTCTTCTGGTAAATCATTGAAGTAATACTACAAAACATAGCTTTTAAGAGAAGTCTTTTGTTTTCTGTTGATCAGACTTGTTTGTTTTGTTTTTAAATTAAAAGCATATCCATGGGAATGCAAGCTGTGGAGAACAGTATGGAGGTTCCTCAAAAAACTAAAAATAGA